CCCCCCCCCCCCCCCCCCCCACATCTCCTTGCATGTCACGATGTGGCCCCCAGACTCAAAGCACTCGGGCTGATAGATTTGAGGGCCCATAGTTAAGTGTGTAGATTTATGATAGGCGGGTGCAGCATGTCAGAGAAACTGTGTTACTTTTGTAAGGAGCACGAGATGAGGCCTCTTCCTAACAGGAAAACGGGGAGAGAACTGGGGAAAACAATCCAAGGTGCATTCAGGTTACTGGCCGTGACTTGGGAAACTCTACAAACAACACGCTGCCTTGCAATTCGGGAGGGGTAGCCAGATGGCTGCACGCAGCACTTGACTGAGATGAACTGTCTCGCCTGATTCCTGGAAGTGCCGTTCATCAACATCTTTCATCAGGTAGGGTGAGAATGGAGAGGTCACGAAAGGGGATAAGAGGAAGGGAGGGGGAGTCGACTGAGGGCGCGACCTGTTGAAACACTCAGATTGATAACTTGACCTCAGGATTTCAAGCTTCTCCTCCCTGCAGTTGCCTGTCTCCCCTTCTCACGTCATGTGCAGCAGCAGAAAAGATCATTCCCCAATTCACATCACGCGATGACGTTCTCTTTGTCCCCTCGTGACCTTAGTGGCTCCTCATTACTCTCTCACTGCTGTGTGAAGCAGCCTGATAAAAGTGGAGAAAGATAAAGAACTCTCCCACATTCAGATCCGTCGATCAAAAGTCAGCAGATTCATCACGATCAAGCTATCGTGCAGCCGACACGGACAGTGTGGGGTTTTGTTACACATGTTTTGCATGCGACAATGCAAAGAATTTTGTGGTAATTTTGTTCAACCATTAGAAAGCACAAATGATAATAGAAACAAGATGAGAATGTATGATGTTTGTTAAACTGTTTGAATAAAACCACTAGATAAGTAACCTTCAGTGGCCTCAAGAAAAATCGTATTTCACAGCCGCAGAGCTTTAAGAGCGGGCTGAATAAATAAAAGCAGTTGTCAACATCTAATATGTATAACATGTGATAAATCTCTAAATTTTATTTATATGTAATGCATGTATACATGTCATTATATCATCCTCTGTTCTAGGGAGTCACTACTGCCAGCGTTTCACTCTGAAATATTTCCTCGTTCAAGAAGGATTTAAACAGACCTCATAACTACCAGTTTGGTCCCACACTTTGGAGACATGAAAGCTTATGGTTAAGAAGCCAAAGCCATCTGGATTCACTCCCACTGTGCCTAGTTTGCGTGGTTATTGACTTGGCTGTCGTTTGGCCTTTAAAATTCACACTTCGTGAAGTTGTGGTATTCGCTTCACACAAATGGCGGAGGCTTTCCCACAACGATGATGAGTTTACTACGGGTACTGATTTACCCGCTGGTTTAATGGTGCAGAATCACAAAATCTTCACAGGTAGAAAATAAGCACCTGGTTTGCTTGCTAAACAGCATCGACAGTATAAGCTAGTGGCTGCAGTTAAAGTTGTTGATATCTCTACGACCTACAACTGACACTGATATTCCCAAAGGAGACTACCTCCCCAAAATGGCAAAGTTATGGAGTAGGTACTATAGCGAGCACAGTAAAGCATTTAGCAGTTTAAGAGTCTAATATTTCTCTCAGGAGTCAGGGGAGACCAAACCCGAGCTAAAAGGAAGTGAATATGGCCTAACATCAGGTGACCAGAAATATGACTCCACACAAATTTCACTATTTCTCCATGTCAGCTAGATATATAAAAAAGTTCAACATATCAACTTTATAAGGTGAAAAAATGTTAATGTTGTTTATTAACACAAAATTAAAGTTAGTTTTAAAAGTTATTTCAAAGTGTATTATAACTGTTTGAAAATGTATCCTGTTTTCTTTGTCGTGGCAAACCCAAACATAAGATTGTCTCTGAGTGTGTTTTTGTGTCTCAAGTCTATGTGTGCATGCACACACGTGGGTGTCTATGGCATATGAGCATCCTGAGCCCGCAGAGATCTAATTTCTGCTGAGCTACACTGTTGCCTAAACATGATAAACTCTGTCTGTTTTCTCTTCCCCACTCCGTAGGGAGCCTTCAATCACCCTATAATGCTTCTCTCTCCACATCCAAGTGTGTGAATGTATTCCTCTGTGCAAATAAATGAACTAAGATTACACGAGGAGACAAATACGGAAAGTGTCCACTCTCGTGCCAATCCTAATCAACTCTTGTTTGTATCTGTGTGTTTGCATTTGAGTTAGTGGCAGTTTAATGTGAGAGATCGCCAGAAAAGTGTGTTTCCCTTGAGCAGAAGAGAGGCTTGTTTTCTCATCTTCTCCATGGCTCATTTTTAATGTCTCTTGTTTGTCATTTATGGCTGTCTCAGAAAATAGGGATGTGGCTTCTAAGTCATTTGTGTGTTGTCCCAATATGTGGTCCAGCTCCTTCACAAAATGCTATTGGACGAACCGCATAATCTAGGCTTGATCAGTGTTCATTTGGGGCAGATAAATCTTCTTAACATGCTTTGAACGTGTCTGTTAAAAACATGCAGCAAAAGACAAGTTTTTACTCCTGTGATGCAGCAGTCGGTCAGTAATAACACTTTTTAAAAAATCATTGTGAGAATTTCACAACTGAGCCGGGACTATAAATTATACGGACTCAAGAGACCAAAGAGCGGCGTGATTCGGTGGGCTCCATCTTGTTCCACAGCTCCTCGTTACAGACTAGTGTCTGTGTTTACAGCTAAAGCATGACTTCCAGCTTCCAGAGCCAGACAGCTCCAAGTGATTCCATCCCAGCAGAGGTATTGACTGAAGTGGTGGCAGAGGTTAATCTGGAACATACTTGTGACTATGTCGGGCTGTGTTATCCTGCTGTCCCGACATCCTGCTTGATTTATGGGCCTCATCTTGCTGCTGTTCACCGCGTCTCTTCTCCGACTAAAAGGATTAGCAGGAAGTGACATCAGCTGAAGTTTCCTACTTCTCTGTCTATGCTCATAAAGGGCCGTGTGTCATAGTCCATATTTGGTGTGCGTGTGCATTAACACACCACGTGAAATTAGATGTCTCCGTTCCACTATAGAACTATGTTCTGGTCCAATCTCCTCATGCTGTTGTGTTGAGCTAATGATAGTCCACTAAACACTGTGAAGGGTACAATCAACACAACCAGAGAAACTCATTCTGCACCCAGAGAATTAGGACCACATGTGCTTACATGTTTTCTCCTGTTCTGTGTATTTATTTAGTTATTGCAACAAATAATCGAATGCCTCTGCATGAAGAGCGCTCTTGTGCCTACTTGCAGGTTTCA